ATTTTCACATTTTGCTTCATTATTAAAATAGCGATGTAGACAACCCTATCTTTTGCGAGCTCTTTATGGCAGTACATACATTTTTTGTGTACATTCTTTCATAATGGGCTAGATAGACTCAATTACTATAATACTGTATCCTGTCTTTAATTCCTTACTTCTCCTTAGTTATCGCCCCAGCCAAAGACATTGCTCTTCCCTATGACTTGCGACAGAAGCTTGCATCCTGGGGACCCCAATACACGCCATCCATGTCAACGCATTCCCAGCCGGATCAGGAGTCAGGTGGTGTGGACGTAGAGCCAAATGAACGCGCACTTCTTGGTCGCTTTCTGACCCGTCTCCATCGACTCGATCCCGATCTTATTGTCGGTTATGACCTTTGGGGGCACCAACTTGACGTGATATTGCATCGCCTCCTAGCCAATCGGGTTGCTCATTGGCATCGGCTAGGTCGACTGCGCAGGTCACAGGCCTTCCAGATCAACACTAACAATAAAGTGAATGACATTCCTTGTTAAATGTTGAACACTTTCCTTTCAACCGCTCTGACGTAGATAAAATGTGAAGCCGGAGCGTTTTGTCAAACTATTTACTACTAAACCATATTTAAGTAGTATTTTATATTCTCATTAGTGTTTGTAAAAACATGTAAACCTTTAAGGAAATTCGCCCGGCCACGCCCTTCGTTATAAATTATAAATGAGTGATTATATTTTTTCACCATCGAATGCATGTTGAAAGTTTCCGAAGGTGTCCGTTTTAAATTAAAATTTTTATTTATAGAAACTCAGAATCTGTTATTTTAATTTCTTAAAGCAAGTTTTTTCTGCTAAGTGCATCTTTCCAAAGTCGTATCCTTTCAGTAACCACGCGAATTTGATTAATTTCACTTTTAAATCATCTTTAGGCCTAGATGAGCTGGAAACTGCTGTCCTTTTTAGATGGGCACTAGTTTTAAGGGTATTAAAGCTGTACATAACAGGCAAGTTTATATTTTATTCACACTTATCAAAACAATATATCGTAAATCTGATGGCTGTGGGTTTAGTTATTTTAATGAATAGTTAATGCTGGTGATGTGGCTTGATTTCGCTTCGTACCAGGCCGATATATTTACAAATAAATACTCTACTTCGTCAGTTGATTTTGTTTTTTCCCCCATCATTGTCTACTAAATGTATTCAGAAATGTGAGAGGTGGTCCACAAACATAAACATGCAAAATTTGACGAATAATTTATTTCATGAATCCTATAAGATTGTCTCCTATATTCTAGGGTCATTTCATGCGTCATGGTTTA